AATGACAGGTACAGACAATGACAGGTACAGACAGAGACAGACAGGTACAGACAGAGACAGACAGGTACAGACAATGACAGGTACAGACAATGACAGGTACAGACAGAGACAGACAGGTACAGACAGAGACAGACAGGTACAGACAATGACAGGTACAGACAATGACAGGTACAGACAGGTAGAGACAATGACAGGTACAGACAATGACAGGTACAGACAGAGACAGACAGGTAGAGACAATGACAGGTACAGACAGAGACAGACAGGTAGAGACAATGACAGGTACAGACAGAGACAGACAGGTAGAGACAATGACAGGTACAGACAGACAGGTACAGACAGAGACTGGTAGAGAAAGAGACAGAAACATAGAGGCAGAAAGAGACAGAAACAGGTAGAGACAGGTAGAGAAAAAGACACATATGACCAATGTATGCTGCAAATGCAGTAAAACTTTGACCTCTGGCTATTTCTGTGGCTTTGTTCAGATGGAGAGGGGCTGGAGGCGGAGGGCTCGGGCCAGAGACTGGACCAACACCTGGGCCTCGCTGACCACCAGGTGAAACAGAGACACTTTGAGGAGTTCCGAGATCGCTACAGCACACAGGTGGGCACTCGTGCTCGTTTGATCGTTGGTTTATTTGTTAGTTAGTTTGTTTGTTTGTTAGTTTGCTAGTTAGTTTGTTGGTTTGTTTGTTTGTTCTAACATTTGTGGTTGCCTGTGCCCTCCCACAGGTGTGGCCTGGCAGAGATGAGATGACGCGTGTGCTAGCTCGCTGCCACAAGTGGAGCGTGTCCAGCCATCAGTTGACCGACCTGGAGCGAGCCTTTGGTCAGTTCCTCCAGGCCCTGGACCGCACCGTCACACAGCTCAGCTGGTCTCGCTGCAGAAATGTGTTCGAAACCTTCGAGATGGCCCAAAGGACTTTCCGCTCCCACCAGGGGGCGCTGTGTGCAGCCTTGAGGGCCAAGGAGGTACCTCTCCCTCCTCCCCTCCCTCCTCTCATCCCTTCACTCCTCCCCCCTCTCATCCCTCCTCCCTTCACTCCTCCCCTCACTCCTCCCCTCCCTCCTCCTCTCCCTCCTCTTCTCCTTCTTCCTAACTGGAGTGAAGAGGTCCCAGTGAAGAATTCATTGTGAAGATTATATATAAAAATCGATGTATATATGTATGATATATAT